CTTCAAGTCCAGTTCCTCAATTTGCTCCTTTAAAATCTTCTTTCTTTCCTCCACTCTTCCAAATTCCAGTCGGTTCCACTCCTTTATTTGAGATTTTAGGAATTGGATCTTTTTGTGGAATCTCGTCCCCTCCCATTCAACTGACGGATTGTGTTGTTCCCACCATTCTTTGATCTTCTCTATGAATCCCGAATGGATCAACCACATATTCTCAGACCTAAAGGGAGCAGGTCCACCTCCTCTTAAGTCCTCCTTACACAACACTATAGGCCAATGGTCTGAAGTGAGTCTAGGGAGTGCTCTAGAATTTAGGTTCCCCCAATGCTCCTCCCTTAGAGCAGATTGGGTTAGATTGAAGGTTGGACCAAGTGTAGATATTTCTATGGATCGGGAATTCCTTAAGCTCAAAAGTATCCACAAATTGATTGAAATTTCTCATGTTGGTTGTAGTAGAAGATCAAGACTGTAATCAGTCTTGAATCCTAATAGGTTTTAGGTTTACAAAACAGAAGAAAAGTGAGAGAAAGGAGGAATAGAAGAGAAGCAGATCTGCCACCGCCACTCTCTTATTATTTATAGGTTATGTTCAGTACATAATGGAAAGGACACATCTGCCCTTAGTACTTACATGATAAATAAAGTAAATAAAAACTGAAATAAATAACAACTGAATTAACAAACTGACTCAAAACTGACACTACTATAACTGAAACAAATAACTACACATGCTGTCCTACGAACACAGTGGGGACCACTGCAGTGGGGCCCACATCAGTGTTCTCTACAGTTGTCACTCTCTATCTGGGATTGTTGGTTTCCTCTATGAATCTTACTACATTAAAGTCCCCCACACACACCAAGGTCCTTCCCATAGGCCCCTAATATCACTCAATTCTTCCCATAAGCTCTTCCTCTTCTTATAGTCATTGGGGCCATATACATTTGTTAGTACCCATTCAAAACCATCTTCCACCTGCCTGAATTTCATAGAAATTGAATGATCCCCTATCAGTTCTTCCAAACCTACCACATCCTTCCACAATGTTATGATCCCACCCGAGGCTCCCCAAGATGGAGTAGCCACCCACTTTATCCCTTTAGAACTCCAAACACTTCTTGCCCATCTACTATCAAAGTCCATTCTTTTGGACTCCTGGATTAACACCACATCCGGATTGAACTTCCTAATTACTTCTTTGATAGTTGCTCTCTTCCTTGCATTACCCAATTCCCTCACATTCCAGCTTAGAATTCTCATCTCATTTAGAATTTAACCCTAAAAAACCACCAGATATCTATTTGAGTCCTTTCCTTCTATCCCCTCTCACCCCAAACTTATTATCCCCCTCAATATCTCTCTTTAATCTCTCCACTTCACTCAATTTTCTTTTCTTAATCTTTCTCTCCTCCTTTCTTTTTATTAGGGAAACTTTTAGATCATTTAGATTCTTCAGCCTACATCCCATCTTTCCAACAAATCCAGCTATCGAATCATCCTTCCTAGTCTCCTTCCCTTTTTCATTTCTGTTCTTTCCATAACTAGTCCTCTCCTCCATTCTAACCTCCTCATTGCACACCAGCTCAGACCCATTTGTAATTCTCCTTTGTAGCTCATTTTTCTCGATTTCACCCATTATGCTCTTAATGATTCCCCATATTCTTTCTTCCCTTAAAGTTCCCTCCATCCTCACCTCTCGCCCCTTCTTTCCTTGGGATTGTAGGCGGACAGATGGTTGTCAAGCCCTGTGTGTCAAAATTGGAGTTTTCTGTCTCCTCGTTTTGGAGGGAAATATTCCCCGTCATTCTGTTTTCACAATGACTGCTCCCCTTACCCAATTGTTTACCATTCTGTGATGTATTCTTGCTCAGTTCTGGGTTAACGTAAGCTAACATCTCGGTTTTCCGTACAGCACTAGCGCTTGAGAGAGGCTTTTCCAGTTCTGGGCACCAGAATTGCCCCCCACCTCTTTGATTGTGAGTCTCTCTGTTTTTAGCCTCTGTGTTGTGCATCTCTGCCTCCTCGTTCCCTTCTTGTTCTCCCACCAAATCTCCATGGAATAGGCGGTCCATGTTTAGGGACTCCCTGTTATAGTCCTCTTGAGATCCTTCATCTTCCAAGCTTCCAAAACTTGAGATGTCGTCTGAACTCTCCTCCTCAAAGTCACTGTCTGAACCACAGCTTATCCCTCAGATAGCGCGGATTAGGGCGATCTGCTGCCCTACTTTCCTGTTCCTCAACACCCAGTCGAGGGACCCAACACAGAGATCGAGTTTCTCTCTCTGTTCGGCATTTTTCCTTTTGTTTCAGTTCGGCCAGCGCAGTTTTGGAAGATGATAGATGGGATTTTTCAACCATCATCTCCCTCTTTCTTTCCTGACCCACGTGACAACTTAAAGTGTCATGTGGCCTCTAAGAGTGTTTATGCTATCCGGCTCACCTAATCTTCGAACCGGCTCAGAGTGTGTGCCCTGGTTATTACCATCCGAACCCAAACCCCTTCTTGCCACATCAGCATAGGACTGTCGATCATAGCCAAAAGTCTTTAGTTCAAAAAAATTTGAATTAATTGCTTTAAATGGAGTGCTTTGGGACTGGTTAACCTCCTGCAACTGTTCCCCTTCTGTTTTCATTGTACCAGTCTTCTTCTTCAGCCCCTGAAAGCCACGTGTACTCCAACCGGCCACCTCAGCATCTCCCTTTTCAGCTGTTTGTCTTCCCCACAGAGACACCTCAGCTTCTGAGGCAATCCAAACATTGTACCAGGCACCATCCGAGCATATCTCAATCGAACAGGGCACTTGTTCCGGTTTCAATCCTGCAACTCTAAGTTCCACTGCTCGCAAGCCCCTCTGGTTTATCTCCAACACTACTCCACCCAAGGTTTTTGCTATTTTTTCAAAAGTTGTTTCGTTCCAGAGGTGAAAAGGAAGTCCTAGCAACTTAATCCGAAAGCTACCATCTTCTGGTTCAATTTCATTACAGATTGGGACCCATTTTTGTATCTGTACCAATCCGCCATCAATCTGTATTGTGTTGAAGCTCCACTTCTGAACATCAACTTCCAGGATAGCTTTCTTCTCAGAGAAAGGCAATGGTATAGCATCACCTTCCAACTTTAACTTTTGAGCCACTGCATCTAGGATTTTTGTCCAGTCCTTTACTTCCCTTTCAACCGTTAGAACCATTCTGTGCTCCCAATTTTTCCTCCCTTCTTCAACTGTTAATCTCCGACGTACGGTTGAGCTTGCTACTGTTACTTCTTGATAGACAGGGGTCTGGTCCAGGTTGGTATTAGGTAACCACTAGGAAGAGGAGTTACTTCCCTTCAGTGATTCTTCTGCTGCCTCACTCTCAACTTCCAAGAGGAAAGATTGAAGACTGCCAGCAAAGGAGGCCCACCCTAGTTTCCTCAGACCTTTAGGCACGCAAATCATCTGCTTTTTATTAATGCCAAAGTGTTCTGAAACTGTGAAAAACCAGCCTCTCTTGTTCCTCTTCAGAACCACTTCGTATCTTTTTCCAGAGTAGCCGAAAGAATTTTTCCACCCTTTCGCCTTGATTGAGTTAACTGTTCCATCTACAAAGCCTTTCAACCAGAAACAGGCTTCCTTTGGTAAAAGGATCGTAGCCCTGCTACCTTCCCTGACTTTCAGGAACTCTTTACCCCTTGTTCGTCCCTGCTCGAAGATGAATCTTTTCGCTTCAGTGCTCAGATCTTTTCTCCACCTCCCCGCCAGCCTAAAACTTTCCTCCACCGCCATTCCGCATGCAAGACCAAAGAAATTGATAGGCCCTCTAGATCTTATCAGTGTTAGAATGTGTTTCCTAGCTGATGTGATTGTGAAGAGATCTATGGGTGCTTGGTACCTGAGGGGTTTGAGCAAGGCTGGTAGGGTGGCATGGAGCATTATTCCAATAGCAGTGTTCTAGGCAGTGTGGAGTGAAAGAAATGCTAGAACATTTGAAGCAAGGCAGAGTTCAAAAGAGGAGGTTCTCAAAAAGGTGTTGGGCATGGTGTTTTCATGGTTGGCAAATCACTCTTTGTTCAGAAGTAGACATACTCGTACTTCTTTTGATTGGGATTTTCTTTTGTAAAGCTATATAAAGATAATAGCATATGTAATTGGGCATTGGTATAGGGTTCATATCAATGTTTTAAAAGGCGTGGGAGGCATTCCTCCAGGCGAGGCGCTCTCAAAATGCCCTGAGGTGTATGCTAGAGGCACTGACACCTCTGAGGCGTACGCCTCTTGCGCTTTTTTCATGAGGCGTGCTAGAGGCGTATATGCCTCGTGCAAATCTGATATAAAAAGACAAAAGAAAAAGAAAAAAGAAAAAAAAGGAAAGGAAAGGAAAAGAAAGGGAAGGGAAAGAAAAAGAAAGAGAAGAAAAAAAGAGAAAATGAAAGAAAAGGAAAGGAAAGGGAAGGGAAGAAAAGATAAGAGGAAAGAAAGTGGTTTTCCCCCTGCCCCTTCGGTTGGGGGGCTTCATCCCCCAAACCCCCCGCCCCCTTTTCAATGCAGCCCAATTTGTTTTTTTTTTGAGTTAGGGGCCCCTTTCAACTAATGTTATGCATCTTTATTCTTCTTAATATAAAATATTTTTATTAAAAATAAAGAAAAAATGAGATCCCCCCTTCCTCTTCATCCTCCTCCTAACCCCCTCCTCTTAAGGAGGCTTTGTGTTCGGGAGGCTTTCGCCTCTTGCGTTCTGAACTACACCTCACGCCTCTTGGTAGTGGAACGCCTCGCGTCACGCCTCCGCGTTTTAAAACATTGGTTCATATATGGTTTATCCTTGTACAGATCCTCATTGTACAGGGGCTGGATTTGTACTTTTTTGAATATATATTAATGAAATACTAGAAAAAAAAAGAAAAAAATGCAGGTGCAACTAAAAAGGAAGAAAGACCGAATCAACATGCTGATATATGTCTGGCAGACCAACCCTTAAAATCAATGGTATTGGTATTTATATTGGATAAGAAACAAATGTATACCTTATACAGGTCAACTGGCCTCTCAATATTTTCCTTATTTGAGTCAACCACAGTTTCCATGCTGGTTATTTCAAACTTTTTGTCTTCAGGCTCTAATTGAGATAAGGGCAATGCATCTCTATTTGTAGTTGCAGTGTCTTCAGCTTTTGTGGTTTTGACAGAATCCGAAGTAAAGATGAGAGTATCCATCCTGCTCCTAGGTCTTGGGACTGGTGGTGGCTGCAAATGGGGACAAAAAACATGTTTTAGTTTGTTTTATATAGGACAATCACATCAATAAGCCAAACAAGCACATATAAATGATAGCATTAATAGTGTCTATCATAATTGAGAAAATTGCAATTTCATATATGTTCAAGGAATGTTCATTGATACATGAAAAAATAATATACATATCAATGTTCTAACCCCCCCCCCCCCGGTCTAGTCGTTTAGAACACTGATGCTAGACAATCCAATCCAGTTGGACTGGCATCTGACCTAGGTTAATTGTTCAGATAAGGTTAGTTAGGAATTTCAAATTTGAAAATAAAAGATTCACTCCATACACAGTTATGATCATTTGGTCAAAATTTGATGCATATCCAGGTCACAGATTACACAAACAGTTCAAAAATTCACAGCCCTATTAATGGCAATGATAGGGGCCAGGCCTGACCTAATTAAAACATCAAACTAGAGAAGAAACAGTGGGTGCTTCTCTTGGATCTGGTTAGTAAATATCTACTTGCACATTTGATGTGAATGAACAAAATGGTATTTACGAGGAAACAACAAAACAATATTTAGATTATGGATAATCAAAATACAAGTCAATGTGTTGACACTAAAGTACCTTTCCCATGTATGGATCAATAATATCAAACCGCTTGCAAAGAATAGGTGAAGGTCGCCACTGAAACTCTTCACGCTTGGGGTACATCTTCTTTGTAATCAGCTCTTCAGCTTGAGGGGATTTAACTTGCTGAATGCACAAATATTAGTGAATAACATGAAAGAAAATACGAAAATTTAAATACTTGCATATAATACAACAATACAGGGTCCTTTTACTGACCTCCAGACCACCAGATGTAAATTGCAATTTTGTAGCTGTTGACAACTCTAGAAACTGCTGACTAGAGGAAAGATTTGTTCCCTTGCTATGCCCCCCTTTCTCAATTGCCTCAACAGCAGACTCAAAGTCCAATCTCTCACGAGCACGCTCAGCTTCAGACATGGTACTAGAACCTCCAGAATCAGTAGAGCGAAGCCCTCCTTGATACTTCTCCTTGAGAAACAGCTCAAATCTTTCTTGTTTTGCAGGATCATCTATGAAGGGCTTTGCAGCTTCTAGGAACTCATTCTGTAATTAAATATAATATATATGCAAATTTCATCAAAAAGAAAGCTGGAACTTGTCCAGAAACTAACAATTTGGAATATATAGTAGTTGGAACTGGACAGAAAATGGACAGGATGCTCACAAGTGATGCAGGTTTAGTAAATGTATCCGAAAGATTAATTTTGAGATGAAGGAAATCGGCAGAAGTGACAGATGAGTCAGAATCCCTCAAACTCCTCTCCAGAGGCTTTTCTCCAAGAATTTTACCACGGCTCTCTGCTGTCAACTTCTTCTCAGTTGGTAGTGGCTTCAAATTCATTTGCTGCCTTTTCTGATCATTACGCTTCTGCTGCTCCTCCCACAGTTTTCGAGCATAATAGTCGTGCCCTTTTCCTCCAGTAAGGAAACAAAATAATGGATTTGACTTGTTCTTCTCTTTTGACAGATCTTCGAATAATTTACCACAGCGAGCAACCAGAGTTGCAAATCCCTCAATCAAAACTTTCATATTATTGTCCTCTGGAGGAGGAACTTCCAGAGGAGGAGGTTCAGTAAATTTGTTTTCTACTTCAAGAGGTGAAGCAAATTTATGATGAGGTTTAAAATCATTTGGAATAACTGGAGGATCAAATCTGGAGAACAGTTTTTGCAAATTAATCATAAGAGAACCTCGAGAAATATATCATAAGAGATAAAATAGACGGTTTTTAAATTTTTACACACAAAAGCATCTGCCCCCCCCCCCCCCCCAATCTCCCACATAAATAATTTTTTTCTAATTTCCGGTCAATTGGAAACATTTGAATTACTAGAATGCATTTCTAAGTACTTCAATATAACTAAGCATTAGTTGTTATATATGGAGAATGCAAAATAGCTTGCACCATAGCCAAACTAGAGGACAGACCTACTGTTAATTACCTTTCCAACTGATAGTCAGACTTTGATGCAACTTTAAAACCAGGAAGAATACCCTCTTCATTTTTGCCCATTATTTGCTTATGATCCCTGCTCATTTTTGATGGCTCTTCAACTTCTTCGACATAAGTTTCTTCAAAGCCATATCCTGAAGAACAACTTGTCTTAAGAGGGGAAATACAAGATCATCAAATGAAATTAGGAAAGAAAAAACAATTTCTGTAGTTTCTCAGAAATATCATGTTAGTAGTTGCCAGTACCATCCCCCCAACAAATAATTAGATGGCTGTGGCCCCTTTGGTGAAGCCTCTACAAACGATGAGATAACCATTTCTGTCATCCCTAAGTATGGAACATCATGAGAACCACCCTCTACCTTGGACTTGGAGGAAGGAAACTCAGTAAATGCCACAAGATGGAAAAGGGTTTTGGGAGAGGTCCATCTATTAAAACTCAGGAACAGTATAGTAGTTCCTGACAAATGAAACATTGCTAACCAGATAGAAGAATAGAAGACTTTATGAAAAATTGAAAATTAATTCATATCATGGTAGTACTCACCTGAAGCATAGATATCTTCATCTTCAACATCAAGCTCTTCAAGAGCTCCAATTCCAAAACCAGGAGCAACTTTTCCTGCTGATGAATTCAAGTAAATGAATTAATCAACTCCAGAGCTTCAAAGACAATTTCATTCTCATCCAAATTCAATCAAAGGCAAAAGAGGAACATAATAGGTCTTGACAGTTCTAGGGAAAGAGGCACATATGTCATTGACAATAAATTGAGAGGTCTTACACCTAGATGCAAAAAGACTTTCACTCATTGAAATATCCCTTCCAGATACACGCTGTCTTTTCTTTTCTGAAAAGAAAAAGGGGGAAATATTATGATGCAGATACAGTAACATTTCCTGAAGGAAATTGTAATTTGCATGCAAATATGTACAAGTTACTAAAAAGAATCATTTTACCTCTGAATTCAGGAGCATGTTTGAAAGGATCATAACCTAAACCATGCAAGTCCTGCTTTGGATGGAGTACATAAACCTGAAGCAAAATAAAAAAGAAAGACAAGAAACAAAAAGAAATAAGATAGCATCTTCTTTTCTTGGTTCATGGTTGTAAGTTGTAACCTGTATTAACTTTAGAATAGAGTTATATAAAAAGATGTCAACAAGGATGAAGGACCACAGTCATTCTCAATACAATTATAGAAAAAGGAAAAAAAATGAAGGTTCAGTTAGAAATGTAGGAAAGTAATAAAATTAAGGGTAAAAAGGCTTAAACATACCCTCATTTTTAAGAAATTGACTTAAACATACCCTAAGTTTTATAAATGGACTTAAAGATACCTTCACCCCATTATGTTAGAAGGATTTAAGAAAAAGGTGTGTTTACCCTTCATAAAGTGTCATCTTCCACCTCAAGAACTCGTTCTTTTTCTTTAGTTTTCACAAATGTTTGTCACTCTAATAGGGCTTTTCCCCATTACAGAGTAGTCAAAAGTCAAGATTACTTATAAAGGAATCCCATTTACCACAAATTATTGTTATCTCAATGTTTATATAATTATATAGATGATCCTCCTTGAGGCTGCAAATCAAGTCATTGAGAAAATCGAGCTTTCTGTAAATTGTTATATTTGTATAGTCCAGACTGAAAAGATATTCCGTCTATTGGTCCAAATAAACAAGGTGCAATATTGCAGCAAAACCAATGCAAAGATCTGCAAGAGGGGAAGAGGCGCTGTCAATTTCGCCGTTAGCTAGGGGGAACGGGGAAAGTTCAAGAAGATGTGGGTGGCAAGATGGAAAAGAAGGAGAACAAAGGGCTCTGGTGATGCATCAAATATCTTGAGCTGACAAAGTGGAGAGACAAGAGAAACAAAACCAGGAGGCCTCAGGTAGCATCTCCGACTAGGTGATAGAAAACCTCGGGGATATCAGCAAGTTTCTAGGGGTTTCAATGGAGGGGCAAGAAGAGCAGATATTGGCACTATTTGAAGCAATTGAAAAAAGGAATGCATGGGAAGGAGTGCATGGAGCGAAAACTCTTGTCGTTCATCCCAATGAATTTTTCAATTCTCTCTTGGAACATGCAGGGTTTAGGAGACCCCAACAAGAGAGCGGGAGTAAAAAAGTTAATTGATAGCAGGAAGTCGGGTATTATTTTGCTACAAGAAACGAAAAAATCAACCTGGAACAGATGCTAGATGAAAGAGGTGTGGTCTGTGAGAACATGCGAGTGGATCACTCTCCTGTCTACAGGGGTGTCGGGAGGCATACTAGTGACATGGGACAAGAATCTTTTCAACAAAATGGATTTTTGGTCGGGTATGTTCCCAAATTCAATTCTGTTAAAAAACGTTGTTGACGATGCCCAGTGGATTTTAACAACTATGTATGGCCCAGTGTCGTCAAACCTATAGAGGGAGTTTATGGAGGAGTTGGACAGAATTCCAGCAAGATGGAATGCTCCTTGGTGCCCAGCTGGGGATTTCAATATTGTGCGTTTTAGTCATGAGAAAAATGGGCAGCAGAGAAGAATGAGGGAAATGGAAGGTTTTGATGATTTTGTAAGCAAGTGGAGACTGATGGATCTGCCACTCTAAGGAGCCAAGTTTACATAGAGCAGCCTGAGGGGAAATCCGTTCCTTTCAAAGTTGGACAGATTTCTTATCGACAGGAGGTGGGATGATTTGTTTTGTGAGATCAATCAACTAGCTTTGTCGAGGCCAACATTGGATCACAGACCAATTTTACTAGAAATAGGATCGACTTAGAGGAAGGGAAGCCCGTTTAGATTGGAGCTGATGCTGTTTGAAATTCCTGGCTTTCAAGAAAAATTGGAACAGTGGTGGGCTGAGGCAGAATTTGAAGGAAAACCGGATTTTGTGCTATGGCCAAAGCTAAGATTCCTTAAACAGAGAATTAAGAAGTGATGCAAAACAGAACTGGGGTGTATCTCCTTAAGAAAAAAGAAATGGCTGGAAAAGCTTAAACATCTGGAGATGAAAGAGGAAGCTGGTGGCCTTTCGAGGGAGGAACTTGTGCGAAGGGCCGTAGCCAAAGAGGAATTTTGCAGGTTGTCCCGCATGAAAGAAATTGCATGGAGACAAAGATCGAGAGTTCAATGGTTAAGAGAGGGAGATAATAACACAGCATTCTTCCACAAAGTGGCGGACACTAGAAGAAGACTGAATACCATTAACCAGATTAACATAAGGGAGAACCATTACGAAGGAGACAAGGAAGTTGCAGAGGCGGTTGTCAATTTCTACAAAGAACTTTTTCAGCAAAAGAAATAGAGAGACCCAGTCTGGATGGATTGGATTTTCCCCAGATTTCTGAACATTGAGGCTACGGCACTAGAAGCACCTTTTTTTTATCAATAACAACAGATTTCATTAAATAAAATAAGGTTACAAAAAAAGGGGAGCTAAAGAATCTTAACTCCCCAGGGAAAGGATAAATCCCAAGCTGAAATAGAACAAAACAATTACAACTGAGCCCMGAACCCAGAAATCCTATTCACTCCTTGCCTAGCCAGACCATCAGCAAACGAGTTTGCACTTCTCTTAACCCAATTACACTGAACTTCCAT